CTCATACTGGTAGTCTCCTTAATGATTTTTGCCTCATTAATGTATTAATGTTTGTGTCCCCCGCTAAAATTCCTACATTGAAATTCCATTGCCTGATGTGATGGTATTAGGAGGGAGAGCCTTGGCAGGTGCTTGGGTCATGAGGCTAGAGCCCTAATGAATGACAGGAGATTAGTCTTATAAAAGTGGTCCAGTGGCTCAGACTCCACACTCCCAATGTAGTTTGAACCCTGTCTGGGTTTGAACCCTGTCTGGGTTTGAACCCTGTCAGGGAACGAGATCCCACATGCCACAACTAAGAGTTCAAATGCTGCAACTAAAGATCCCACATGCAGCAAGGAAGATAGAAGATCATGCATGTTGCAACAAAGACCTGGCACAGCCAAATAAATAAATATTTTAAAAGGAGAGAGAGAGAGAGACCCCAGAGGGCTTGTCTGCCTCAACTATGTGAGAACAAAATAAGAAGACATAACAATGAACCAGGCAACCATTTTAGCACCTTGATCTTGGACTTCCCAACCTCCAGAATGGTGAGAAATAAAGTTCTGTTGTTTATAAACTAGCCACTCTGAAGTATTTTGTTATGGCATCCTGAATGGACTAAGACAATTAATGGCCGTTTTTATTTCTGCAAATTGTACTGATTTCTTGTTTTATCTTCTCAGAAACTTGTAACATTTTTTTGTATCTCTTCACTACTTCTTTCTCAAAGTCCATCTTAAATTCATTTCCCTTCACCTTCTGCCTATTTTATTAGAGCCCTGATTGTGATTTTAAGCCTAACCTTCTGAATAGTGAGCTGTGTTCTAAAGTGACCATGAATCAAAAGATTTCTCAGCTCCTGTTATCTTCTGCTAATGTTTGGACACAGCCTTGGGAATTTCTGGTTGCTTTTTTCCTTTTAAGTGAGGTTTATTTTCAACAATTTGAGGTTTCACTATCTTGTATATTCTACTTTTTACAAAAAGGAACTTTCTCCTGACTAAACTAATATATGCACCAAACCGCAACAAAGCCATAGTAACAAGAGGCTTCAAGGCCACTCCATGAATGTCAGACCCAGCTGTTAAGTGTTACGGGAAGCTCAGCCTTAGTTGTTGTCATCTTGGGGATTTTTCACCTCACCTAACTTCTCTGTTACAAAATCACTGCAGATGGTGACTGCAGCCATAAAATTAAAAGATGCTTGCTCCTTGGAAGAAAAGTTATGGCCAACCTAGACAGCATATTAAAAAGCAGAGACATTACTTTGCCTACAAAGTTCATCTAGTCAAAGATATGGTTTTTCCAGTAGTTATGTATGGATGTGAGAGTTGGACTATAAAGAAAGCTGAGCACCGAAGAATTGATGCTTTTGAACTATGGTGTTGGAGAAGACTCTTGAGAGTCCCTTGGACACCAAGGAGGTCCAACCAGTCCATCCTAAAGGAGATCAGTCCTGAATATTCATTGGAAGGACTGATGCTGAAGCTGAAACTCCAATACTTTGGCCCCCTGATGTGAAGAACTGACTTGAAAAGACCCTGATGCTGGGAAAGATTGAAGGCATGAGGAGAAGGGGATGACAGAGGATGAGATGGTTGGATGCCATCACCAACTCAATGGGCATGAGTTTGAGTAGGCTCCGGGAGTTGGTGATGGACAGGGAAGCCTGGAATGCTGTAGTCCATGCACTCGTGAAGAGTCAGATACAACTGAGTGACTGAACTGAGCTGAACTGACTGAACTTCTGTGTAGGTGCCCTAGTGGCCAAATCCACTTTAACCCTCAATTTTGGGTATGTGGCTTTGACAATGAATTCTAACATGAAACGCCCTTTCTCTCCACACATTGTCTGATACATAAAAGAGTTCCAAAACTGCTATTCCTGTGAGGGTGCAAGGTCAAAGGTGAAGAGGTAGGCAGAAAGAAGAGGGGCAGGCTATGATCTGCAGGATGTGGCCTACTTCTTTGATTTCTAAGTGCCCAGGCCTCCTTCACCCCTACCTCCCTTCTACCTGGCATGGGCTACAGCCTCCTCCCAAGTTCCTGAAACTCTCCTGATTCCCCAACTCTCCTACCCCTGGAGCGCTCCCAATCCAAGGGCCTGGGACACTGTGCCTAAACTTTCCTCATGGACAGCAGAGATAGAGATAGCTTTACTGGAAAGGAAAAGGACTTATTTTTAATAGAATAGAGACTGGGAGCCCTTGGTTTTTCTTTGCATGCTCAGTCTCTTCAGTCGTGTCTGTCTGTGGGGAATTCTCCAGGCAAGAATACTGGAGTGGGTTGCCATGCCCTCTTTCAGGGGATCTTCCCTGGTTTTTCTCTAGTCAGAGCCAATTTACTTTGCTGTTATTTCCAGCTTTTTTATTTTTCTCATCTATGTGTGGTTAGAAGAAATTCTGTCTGTAGTTTTCCATATGGTAACTTACATAACTGATTTCTAACGTAGCTAATTTCTTCCTAATTGGAAATAAGTCTATAGCATTTACTTATCTAGTGTGAGATACAACATACATGTGAAAAACTACAGAGAACATCATACAGCACTAAAATAATTATAAAACAATAAGAGAATCATAAAACCCCTTAAAGAGTATCCAAAACTATATTAGTTTTGCAAACGCCCCACAACTGCCCCACTCCCCCTAAGATCACAATGCTCTCTCCTCCAGAGAAAAATTCCACTCTGATTTCCTCTGATTTTCCTGTTTTACTTTCCTCTCCTCTCCATTTCTAGTATCATTACTTTAACATGCATGTCTAACAGTACACTTGGTTTTGACTGTTATCAAGAGTTACCTACCTAGATTTCTATGCTACATATTTTATTTGTGTTTTGATTCTTTCCCTCAACATTGTGATATTTACCCATGTTGCATTTATCTGTAATCTGTTCCTATTCATTGACATATGGTTTTCTATTGTATGACTACAGCATACATTCCCATCTCATGTTCACAGAAGATGGGATTATTTCTGTCTGGGAATATCAGGAATATTCTTGCCCATATATCCAGGAGCATAGCTGCTTATTTATCACTGATGGATTTTGTTAAGATGCAAAATCTGATTCTTAAGGTCTGCAGTGACAAACTGCTGGGAGAGGCTAATGTTTCTAGTCTAGAGGCCACAACTGAGTAACAAGGCTCAGTGGACAGCTGGGAGTGACTGTGGTGGTCATAGGGTTTCTGGATCTTCAATGTTCTAGACAACGTGAAGCTGTTTAGTAAGTTGATATATCTATTTACACTTTCCCTAGCAGTGTTTGAGTGTTCCTATTGTTCGTCATACATGCCAGTGTTGGTTACTGTCAGATTCCTCATATTTGTCAGTCAGAGGGGTGATTTAAACTTGCATTTTCCTGGATATTTATGAGACTGAAAGACTTTTTAAAATTTATTTTATACAAAGAAATTCATTTGGATTTCTTCTTTTTAGAAAATGTTAGAGGTTCCCCTCACCACTCTTTTTGTGTTTTTCTCATTGAAAAAATTGCTGTCCCTTTGACCACTGCTGGGGAGGAAAAACTTTTCCTCCAACCAAACCTCCTAAATTCCAAAGAGGAACCTGAGAATTAAACTGACAAAAGACCATTCCTAAGAGTAAGACCATTCCTAAGAGTAAAAGGTTTATTCATACACATATGGAGCTAGCTAAGGAAGTAGTTAGCTTAGTAAAGGTTCCAGTTAGAGGCTTATATACCTAACTTGGACTTCCCAGGTGGCTCAGTGGTAAAGAATGCACCTGCTAATGCAGAAGTCATGGGTTCAGTTCCTGGATTGGGAAGATCCTCTGAAAGAGGAAATGGCAACCCATTCCAGTATTCTTGCCTGGACAATCCCATGGATAGAGGAATCTGGTGGGCTACAGTCCATGGGATCCCAAAGAGTCGGACACAACTGAGTAATTAAACAACAACAACAAGCATTTGTACTTTAGGTGACTTGTTAGAGAAGCTTTTCAGCCATCTAAGTGAGAATGGACCTTATAAGTATGTTGTGTTGGTTTGGAGGATACATTTCTTACTGTTCTGACAAGAGGACTCTTGAATTACACTTAAGTTGGTGAAATCAAAGGCAAAATATCAGAAATGCTATCTCCATTTTGCTACCAATTTCTCCTGTTCTAGGTAAAACAAAACACAACAAAATCAGGGTAAGAATGTATTTTTTTCCCTAAGCTTTACAGTTATTTTAGAATTTTTAGAACTCACTAAGGTTCTCTTTCTGTCTTGTTTGTTTCCTTTTGCCAAATACCTTCCCACCGCCCCCCCTTTTATTTCCCATGGCTGACAGAAATCTACAGTGAAATACATTCCATCACAGCAAATGAATTAAACTTGGAAGAAAATTTTCCTTTCAATTTTCCCAACCGTACTGAAGACATTTCTCCCTGCTGCAAGTCCTTTTAAAAAAGATGTATATTAAAACTAATGAATACAATGAATCAATAGGAAAGTGAGCAAGGATTTGCCGTATGTTCCCAGAGAAGAAAATATAAATGGCTGCTAAATATAAGATGCTCATTTCCCAACAGAAGTGAAAATTAAAACTACTATGTGATATGATAACAATATTACCAAACCATTAAAGACAAAAAAGTATGCTAGTATTTTGTTGAGAAGTTTATGGGGAAATATATATTCATTGCTGGTGGAAATTAAATTAGTACAACCCTTACAGAAGGCAGTTTGACACTTGCCTATCTATCAACATCTCAAATGCATATAACTTTTGACATAGAAACTAATTTCTAGAAATTTATATCATCATACACTTGCACAATTACAAAACAATTTATTTTTCACTATAGCATTGTTCATAATGGGCAAAAGACTGAAAAGATTCCAAATGTCCATCAATAGGGGACTGGTTAAAAAAAAATTATAAGCCTCCTCTGTAGTATAAGCAACCTGTTGCCTGTACAGTTTTCCCTAAAGGACCTTGGAGAGAACTCTTTCTGGTGGGCATTCATGACTGGCCTGCTGTCCCCAGGGTAGGCTCCAGACAGGTATGCATGGGGCCTTTGGAAAGCCCCAGGGCACAATGGCCAGGGTCCACATTGGCCAAGGCATAATGCCCATTCATGCCAAGCTACAGAACAAAGAGCATGTTATTGAGGCCCTCTACAGGGCCAAGTTCAAGTTCCCTGGTTGCCAGAAGATCCACATCTCCAAGAAGTGGGGATTTACTAAGTTTAATGAGGATGAATTTGAAAACATGGTGGCAGAAAAGCGGCTTATCCTGGATGGCTATGGGGTCAAATACATCCCTAATTGTGGTTTCCTGGACAAACGGCAGACCCTGCATCCATGAGAGCATTGGTGCTGTCTCCTCCTTAATCATGCTCACCAAAATAAATCCTACTTCCTGTCAAAAAAAAAAAAATTATAGCATAATCCATACCGTGGAATAGTATACAAAAATACAAAAAAATATAACATTATATACTCATATGGATCCCAAAAATGTTTTTAAATGAAAAAAGCAGGATACAGAACATTATGTAAAATGTAATGTATGTATAAAATGGAGAAAAAGGAAAATAAGTGTATTTGTTCCCAACCAGTTATACCTGGGATAGTGTGCCTTGGGAACAGAGCAGATAGGTTATGAGGATGTGAAACAGATTTTTCACTACATGCCTTTTCACATTTCAAGATTTGAATCATATGAATATAAAACCTTTTACCAAACAGGTTAAAAATAGATTAAATTTTTAAAAATCATTATAACTCTTACCTTTAGTAGCAGAAGTTCTGAGAGCAATTCCTTAGAATTAAATCTGCTTAACAATGAAGAAAAGGCAGGAGGTTCATTTACAACAACTTCCAAAAATGTGACAAGAAGTACATTGAATGCATTATTCCATGATTCAGAGTGACAGAAGAACACTGTTCTGAACTGCAGCCCGCAGCCCTACAAACAGCATTAGCACAGGGCTACCAACATGTGTACTGCACAGATAAATGATGTATTTTATCTTTTAACTTTACATAGAGGAGTCACTCATTCAGTCAGTAAAACATATTCCACCATGTACTAGACTGGTTCAAAAAAGGATTTTCAACAAGATAAAGACAAACAGGAAATTATTTGTCTATTTTTAAGCATTTTCTTAAAAATATTTTTCATGACATTTGAAATGATCAAACAGCCTCAATGGTTATTTGCTAAAATAGCAATTTTGCTGTTGCATGCCTGAAGCAGAGACAACTTCATTTTAAAATGGTCTGCTTACTACTACTAATAAAAAAATACTCTTCTTCTTGAAGGATCAGGTTTGAATTGTTCAGTTGGTAATGCCAAGGTAGCACAAAGATTAAAATGTTTCAATAAAACAGCAAACCTAATAACCAGAGGAGAATATTTTTTGAGATTTTGGAAGCATTCATTTAGATATAACTGGAGAATATTATGTCAAATACCATGAACGGAGCAGATGGGATGTGACAGGTCCAATAGTAAGCATCCAGAGACGGTAGGTAACAGTGGACGGTAGTGAAAGATCAGTCCTACTACCATGGTGTGGGGATGGAAATCAAGAACTAGGAAGGGGTTTTTTGTTTTTAAACTTGGCAGCTAAAAATCTAAAAGATCAATTTATGTTTATACTTTATATACACATAACGGCCATGGGGCAGGTCCAGTACGGGTGAAAGATCAGCTTAGAGTTAAGTCTCGGGGGATGCAGAGGCTGATAGTCAGAAATCCAGAAAGAAGTCCTGTGAAATCCAAAACACCTTAGCGGAGGAGAGGGAGATGGTTGTTCTCCTTCGAATGAGGTAAGCCCCCGGGACACCTAGGGGGTCTAGGACTCTGACTCACTCCCAGGAAGCCCCAAAGGAGAGAGAAAGTAACAGTGACGTGGCCGAATGCACGGAGTCACTAGGATGCGCGCTCCCCGCTCCATCTCTCTTCAGAGCACGGAACAGAAGCCCGAAACCCTGGGAGTGCCTCCCGCCTAGGGCACTCTTCCTTCCACCCTCAGGATGGGGATCACGATAGTCTCTTAGCAGATGCGGGCGAGGACGTCTCATTCGATTCCCTGATCTCCAGTTCCATGACAACCTTCTCCCCAGCCCAAGAGAGGCAGACAGGCGGGCGCCCGTCTCTGCACCCTGGAGAAAGAAATGGATGTGTGGTTAAGGTGACAATGCAGGCGACAGTCGTGTGCTGCGTAGGACGTAATCCTGCGCTGCGCATGCGGCAAAGCAAGGGAACCAAAGCCGCGCGGAGACAGACGCACAAATACCCCTGAGGTAGCACTCTCCATCACAACGTCGCGCGCTACGCGGTATCACGTGACACCTGAGCCAGCCGTCTGTCACGTGATCCCTTGGTGGCGGCGGACCGTAGTAACACTTAGACGGTCACACGAGCCTCCGATGGTTCTCAGGCCTCAGGTCAGCTTCCATTACCTTTAGGTGTGCCTAAACTGGCGCCGTCCTCTCAGTTCTTGCTCCTGGGAGATGGGGATGCCCCCTCTTCATAAATGGGCACGATGTTTGAGCAGGCGGGAGGAACAGGTGCATAGGGCAGAGAGCGGAAGTCCGCACCCACACTCTATGACCAGAGAGTAGCCACGCGTGTCCCACAGTGCAACAGGCTCCGTTGCGGTCCTTGTGGTGACGTCGGAACACGCTTCCAGGGCAAGGGATATGGGGGCCCGACTCGGCCCCGAGTGGTATGTTGTTTCTCCCATGGCCGGCAGTGACCACGTATTGTGCGCCTTTGCTTCGGTTCTGTGGCCAAGGGCCTCCGCAGTCTGCTTCCCCGAATGCAGAAGTCCTCCGGAGGTCCCTCTTTGTCCATGTGCAGAGAAAAAATAGTTTGTAAACAACTGGAAAGTGTAGTCCAAAGCCTTACCTCTAAGAAGACTCCAGGCCATCCAGGCTTCCTTGTCAAGTTAAACCAAACATTATAAGGAAAACATAATTCCCAATTATTTCCCCTGTTTCCTTTCTTTATAAAAAAATTGTTTAATTGAATTACAATTTACAATGTTGTGATCATTTCAGGTGTCCAGCAAAATGATTCAGTTATACATCTATTCTTCTGAAAAGAACTGTACGTTGTTATATACTATTGAATAGTTTTCTGTGCCATACAGTAGATCCTTATTGTTTATATATTTAATGTATGGTAATGTGAATCCCAGACTCCTAATTTATCTCCCCCTCCATCCTCTTTGGTAACCCTAAATTTGTTATAGCCGTAACTCCCACATTAATCAAATAATTCCAGAAAAATGAGCAAAAATTGGGAATGCTTTTTATGATGGTTAGTGTAACTCTGATAGGAAAACTTGATAAGGACAGCAAATTGAAGGAAAATGACAGTTTCAGTTTTATTCAGAAATGTAGGTTCGAAAACTGATAAGCTAAATATTAGCCTAATTTAGTATTGGGCTCCTAATTACATAAGAAGAATAAAACATTATGTGCATGTTAGATTGTTTTAACATCAGGATTCACATATTAATTTATTAATGGAGATAATATTATCTCAGTAATTGTAGACTAAATGTTTGAATCAAACACTCCCTGATAAATGCTCATGGAAAACCAGTGATGGAAGGGAAATTAATAAAAGTTATCTGCAGTAAACCATATACCAAACAGCCTGTTTTAGCTGCAAAACATTTAAAGCTTTATATTCCTTTCATTGTTCTGTTGATGAACCTGGGACCTTCAACTCTGGATTTTGCTGTTTCCATATACATGAGCATTTAAGCATATTTCTCTGTCCTCTCTGTTGCCTGCTAATTGTGCACACATGCCTACTCAGTCCTGTCTGACTCTGCGACCCCATAGGCTGTAGCCCACTAGGCTCCTCTGTCCATGGGATTCTCCTGGCAAGAAATATTGGAGTGAGTTGCCATTTTCTCCTCCAGGGGATCTTCCCAACTCCGGGATCTAACATGCATCTCCTGCATTGTCAGGCTTTAACCACTGAACCACCTGGACTTCCCATCTGGCTGACTGGAGCTGGATTATTTTATGTCTTGAAACATAGTAGTCATAGTTATTTTATAACCTGTATCATGATAGTTTTAATATCTGAATTATTTTCAGATTCTTTTCTGCTGCCTGATAATGTCTGCTGTGTATGGTCTATGGTGTCTAGTTTCTCTGTCTCTTTGCGGGGGGTGGGGGGCATTTGAGGAAAAAGTATTTGTGGCTTATTTCAAAGAGGACTTTTGTTTGTTCCTGCTGTGTGCCTTGAGGCTGTCTTAATCTGAAACCAGTTTTCATGGGGAGATATTTCTTGGGCCATTGGTAACCCAGCTACACATCTGAGCAAGAACTGCCCAGTGGCCTCCTCTACTCACAGATGGGATTTTTTTCTCTTCTTTTTTTCCCTCCTATTATAGTCAAGGTAAAAGCAAACTTTCCTAAAATTCAAGGGAACTAGTTTACACTTCCCCTTAGAGTATTGCCTATGAAATTACAGCTTAATATACAGAGAATCACTTAATACTATTTCACCTTAAATAGTCCTGGACCTTGGCTCCTTAGTCCATGCCCAGTGAAGCAACTAAAAAAATGAAAGGAGAAAAAAAAGCTAAATGTTCCCTGACTAGAAAGTGTCCTCAGGGCAAGAGTAGCTTTTGTGCTCTGGTGTCTCATTTGCTTCTTTAGGGTTCCTATTTCTCTTAACCTTTTGAGCTAATAATTCCTTACCTTCTTTCAGTAATTTGATGCTTTTGAGATTCTTTTTTTATAGTTTATCCATCATCTTTAGTCGTTATCAGTGTGTATATTAGTATGAATAATCAAGTCCATCGTAACTGGAAGTAGAAATTTAAGATTTCATTACATTCTTTAGTTTCTTGCTTTTATATCTCAAGACTCCTTGCTAAATGTTACATTCTTTTATATATATGTATATATATATAACATTTTATTTATGTGTTTATCGGCTATGCTGGGTCTCTCTTGCTGCCTAGGCTTTTCTCTAGTTCGGCAAGCAGGGTGTACGCTAGCTGCAGCGCACAGGCTTCTCATTGCCGTGGCTTGGCTTCTCTTGTTGTGGAGCACAGGCTGTTGCCGCACGTGAGCTTCAGTAGTTGCGGCTCGTGGGGTCAGTGGTTGTGGTTCCCGGGCTCTAGAGCACAGGCTCAATAGTTGTGGCACGTAGGCTTAGTTGCTCCACAGCATGTAGGATCTTCCTGGACCTGGGATTGAGCCTGCATTTCCTGCATCGTCAAGCGATTCTTTACCACTGAGCTACCTGGGAAGCCACAAAGGTTTTGTGGACAATGTTAAAGAATTGTGATTTCATCCTGATAGTAGACAGAATCATTAGAAGTT